CATTTATTTGTATCCTCTTTAATTGTTTTATCAAAGTTGTATAGTTTTCAGCATAGACATCTTTTACCTCCTTGGTTAAGTTTATTCCTAGGTAAGTTATTTGTATTTATTCATAGCTGTTGTGAATTGAATTGTTTTCTTGATTTCCTTTTCAGGTAGGTCATTATTAGCATCTAGAAATGCTATTGATTTTTGCATGTTTACTTTCTATGCTACAACTTTACTGAATTTGTTTATTAGTTTTAACAGTATTTTTGATGAAGTCTTTAGGGCTTTCTATATATAAGGTCATGCCACTTCTATAAACAGGAACCAATTTGACTTCCTCCTTTCCAGTTTGGATGCCTTTTATTTCTTTCTGTTGTCTAATTGCCCTGGCTAAGACTTCCAGGACTTTGTTCAACAGAGTGGTGAAAGAGGGGATCGTTGTCTTGTTTCTTGTTCGCTATGATGTTAGCTGTGGATTTGTCATAAATGGCCTTTATTGTGTTGAGATACATACTATCCGTAAGTACTTTTTGAGAGTTATATCATAAAGGTATGTTGACTTTTGTCAAGTGCTTTTTCTGTATCAACTGAAATGATCATATGGTTTTTCTTTCCTTTTGTTAATGTGATATATTATTATACAATTTGTTGATTTGCATATGCTAAATCATTCTTGCATCTCTGGGATGAATTCCACTGACCATGGTGAATGGTCTTTTTAGTGTGCTGTTGGATTTGGTTTGCTAGTAGCTTGTTGAGAATTTTAAAATCTATGTTCATTAGATACTGGCCTGTAGTTTTTTTTTTGCTGTGTTCTTGTCTGGTTTTGGAAACAGGGTAATGCTGGCCTCATAAAATGAGTTTAGAAGTACTCCCTCCTCCTCAATTTTCTGGAACTGTTTGAGGAGAATTGATGTTTGCTCTTTAAATGTTTGGTGGAATTTTGCACTGAAACCATCAGGTCCTGAGCTTTTCTTTGATGGAAGACTTTGTATTGCCTTTTCAATTTTCTCACTTGTTATTGGCCTGTTCAGATTTTATATTTCTTTATAATTTAATCTTGGTTGGTTGTATGTGTCCAGTAAATTATTTATTTCTTCTATGTTCTGAAATTTGTTGGCATGTAGTCATTCATAATAGTCTCTTATGATGTTTGTATTTTTTGTGGTATCAGTTGTAATGTTTCTTTTTTAATATCTGATTTTGTATTTTCTTTTCTCTCACTCTTTTTTTTTTTTTTCGTGATGGAGTCTCGCTCTGTTTCCTGGGCTGGAGTGCAGTGGGGCGATCTCAGCTCACTGCAAGCTCCACCTTCTGGGTTCATGTCATTCCTATACCTCAGCCTCCCGAGTAGCTGGGGCTACAGGTACCTGCCACCACGCCCGGCTAATTTTTTTTTGTATTTTTAGTAGAGACAGGGTTTCACCGTGTTAGCCAGGATGGTTTCAATCTCCTGATCTCGTAATCCGCCCGCCTCGGCCTCCCAAAGTGCTGGGATCACCAGTGTGAGCCACTGTGCCCAGCCTGTATTTTCTTTTTTCTCTTAGTCTAGCTAAAGGTTTGTCAATTTTGTTTACTTTTTCAAATAAACAACTCTTTTGTTGATTCTTTTGAATTTTTTAAGTCTCTGTTTCATTTGTTCCTGCTCTGAGCTTTATTATTTCCTTTCTTCTACCAATTTTGGGTTTAGTTTGTTCTTGTTTGTCTAGATTGTTGAGGTGCATTGTTAGGTAATTAGAAATTTTTATTTTGTGAAGTAGGCATTTATTGCTATAAATATTCCTCTAAGATCTGCTTTTGCTGTGTCCTGTAGGTTTTGATATGATATTTTTCCATTCTCTTTTGTCTTAAGAAAATTTTTAATATTCCTATTGACCCATTGGTTGTTGAAGAGCATAGTTAATTTTAAAGAAAAGTGTAATTAGGGTTCAGGGTTAAGGTCAACTGATCAGATACTTGAGTGCAAATAAAATTCAGTTCTCTTTTTGGCATATTTGATATTTTCCCATTCAGAGACAACCACAGATATTTTGTGTATATGTCTACATGCATATTCCACAATTGTATTTTGTGAAAGATAGTACTAATCATGGTCTAATCTCTATAAAATGCTAGGCTGCATCTGAAAATGAGAGCTTGAGCTTTCCAAAGTCTATGATACAGAGTGAATATTACAAGACTATAGATTGAGAAAACTTAATTCTATTCCATGCATTCCCTTATGTTACAGAAATATAGTCAATGTTACATCTCCATGTCTCAAAGCCATCTTATACAAATTAGGATAGTAAAGCCCCCTCCTTTACATGCCTCTTATGTGTTACATGTTATAAAATTTTTTCTATTCCTTTGATAGAATTGAATTCAATTTTCTCACTCATGTTACCTAAGGTGTGTAGCCTTTGCATTCTATATGTTTATATTGACATAGCCTCGAAAGGGTGGCAGGTCAATGTGGAATATACCAAATTTTCTCTCTTACCACAGGCAGTTATATGATCTTTCTATAAAGGTCTGACAATTGGACTGAATGTGGATGCTGAACTTTGCATCTAAGAGGAATGTCATCTAAAAGAAAGCTGCAAAAGACCATGCAAGGGACATGGTTTGTTTAAGCAAATATTTTTCAGCCAGTTTGTCTCTATTAAGAATGGTGAATTTTATCTGACTCATTGAAGCATGAAATACATCTCACCTCTTCAGCAGGAATAACCATTACTGAAGCACATGAATGTTTTCTTTCCATCTTCGCACTCTGTTTCCTCTTCAGTGGAATATTGATAACACGAAAACACTTCAGGTTTATCTCTGGCTCCTTCCGGTGCTGTGAGATTTAAGTGTGGAATTTTGGGCTCAAATTCTGCATGTGACTTGAACAAATTGTATTAAACTATGTCAAGGAGGAAGAAAGCAAGCTGATGATGAGTTTTAAGCACTTTTGTCAATACAATATACTGTCAGAAAACTTTTAGTATCAGTAAAATAAGAATCAATCAGCATTTTATTCTCTGGTAAGAAAGACAGAAAACAGAACTCTCAGTCCTTATTGGACCCCCTCCACATACCATTTTGTATATAAATCTTAAGTGTTTCTGATTAAATTACTTTGATTTTTATGAAAAGAGTTTTTAAAAATGGAAATTCTGTGTTATGATTTATGTGACTCCTATAAAAAAGACTGGATGAAATCCCTTCACTACTTCCCATAGTTGGAAGTACTTCCTTATAGCTTTTTGGAATTCTGGAAAATGTAGTCCGGAAGTTCTATGTAGTCAACAGCACTTCCTCCTCAGGGGAGTGGGTGTGCTCCTTGTCATCCTGGGATGGTAAATGTAATAGCTCCCAGATGTGTCCGGCACTGTTCTGCCTGCTTTATGTTTAATTCTCAGAAGAAACCCAAGTGTGAGACGTAAGTGTCTTCTCTATTTCATAGATGATGAAACAGATTGAGGGGATTGAATGGCTTGTCTGAGGTCACACACAAGGTTACGCAGAACATAAGGAATTTGAACCAGGACTTTGATGCTAAAGTCTATGCCCTAACCTGGACTCTTCCTTATATAAACTCAAAATAAACACAGAATTTTAATCTTTAAGCTGGCAGTAACTGAGGAATTCTATCTTCTGAGCATGAAAAGAGAAGTAACTTCTTCCAAAATTACCCATGGCACATGAAGTGAAAAGACAGAGGGACATTTTCCCAATCCTTTTCAAGTAGAGGACATGACATGCATCTCAAGTCCCAGAATCTTCCAACCATGCCCCCCCCCCCCCACCTTTTTTTTCCTCTCCTATTTTCTAAGAATGGATCCTTGAAGGAAATGGGATTGACTGTGATAGAGAAAGTAGTGAGAAGAGTCAGGCGTGGTGGCTCATGCCTATAATCCCAGCACTTTGGGAGGCTGAGGCTGGTGGATCACTTGAGGTCAGGAGTTCGAGACCAGCCTGGCCAGCATGGTGAAACCCTGTCTCTACTAAAAATACAAAAAAAATTTGCAGAACTTGATGGTGGGTGCCTGTAATCCTAGCTATTTAGGAGGCTGGGGCAGGAGAATCATTCGAACCTGGGAGGTAGAGGTTGCAGTGAGCCAAGATCGCACCATTGCACTCCAGCCTGGGCGACAAAGAGTGAGACTCCTTCTCAAACAAACAAACGAATAAACAGAAAGTAGGGAGAATAAGGAAGACAGCATTTTCTCTTTTGAGAGTTAATCTCTTATCACAAGATTTGTCCATAGGAAAAAAAAATAAATCTGATTTTTAAAAGCTTATTAAATTTTTCAAAGTACTTCACTCTAATTACCCAGATGGGGAGCTTGTAATTGTCCAAACCATCACTTCTGTACATTTCAATATTTTAAAATCAGGATGGATTCAGGAGTTTCAAAAAGATGAATTAGAAAATCACTATTCTTAAAAAATGCTCTAATAATAAATATCAGGAAAAATTTAAGAGATAAAGTATTAAGAAACTCCTCCTTCCTTTTTTTTATTCTGTAACCGAACTGATCACTTCATTTTTATATGGCTTCTTTCTGTCCCAAGACCATATTTTCCATTCTGTACCCACAGTCTTACATATAGGCTTTTGGAGATTAGTACATTGTCAGAGAAGATAGTAGAGAAGACAGGATCACTTTTCTTAAAGATCATTCTTGTGCTGGTCACTCTCACTTAACCTAGTCAATTTTTCTCACTCTGCTTAAAATAATCAGAAATTACCTTGTTTATTTATTTATTTTCTGATTTATTGTCTTTTTTCCTTGTTAGAGTGCCATGATCATGATAGCAGGAACCTTAGACTCTTGTTCTTTGCTGTGTCTTCAGGATTTAGGGGACCCTCAAGCAACACACTAAACACTCAAATTAACTGAGGAAGGGGATATAGTGTATTCCTTTTAGGAACATAATACTTTGATGTATTCTGATCAGTACCCCATAGACAGGCAATTTATTTGTGCAATTGGGACAAAATTAATATCAAATTTAATTAAAATATCACCATTTTACAGCCTTCTAATGAAGTAATGGACCTTGACAAAGATCATCAGCCCTGATACTATCACAAAGAGACCAACCAGGTAATGTAATGTGGTTTTCCTGGTATAATTCGTATAATCATCTATGAAAGATTCTTTTTTATTTTATTTCCAACTTCTGTTTTAAGTTCTGGAGTACATGTGCAGGATGTGCAGGTGTGTTCCACAGGTAAATGTGTGCCATGGTGGTTTGCTGCACAGATCATGCCATCACCCAGGTATTAAGCCCAGCACCCATTAGCTATTCTTCCTGATCCTTTCTCTCCCCAAACCCCTGCCCTCTGACAGGCCCCAGTATGAGTTGATTCCCCTATGTGCATGTGTTCTTAGTATGAAATATTCTTGCCAAAAATTTTAACCTGATCCATATAAGCTTTCAAATTAAATCAAATTTAATCAAAGGTTTACAGGAAATACAGGACAGAGGAATGTGTTATACAGCACCATGGCAATCAGCAATATCTAGAATGAGGGATTTCTATAGAACAAACAGCCTTGTATCCTTAATAAATAAAATGAAAGTAGAAAAGTAAAGAGAAAAAGAAGCAATATATTGAAGGCAGTTTAGAGATACCATAATCAGCCGAATTATGAACTTTGGTTCCTATCAAAATAAGCCAATGTTTAAAAATAATTTTGAGTATTTAGAGAAATATGAACACTAAGTGGATATTTGATGTTATTGTGGAACTTTTGTTCAAGTTTTTGAAATGGGGAAGGCTGTCCTTGGGAGAGCTCCAAGCTGTAAATGGATTTCAAAGCAATTCAGTAAGTAGTTTCATTTGGGGTGAATGCAGAAAGTATTTGAATGTTTTGTTACTGTGTAGCATCACCTTTCATCTCTAGTAATACTTATTAAAGTCTACTTTGTCTGATAATACAGATTTTCCAATCTTCTTGTTGTTAGCTTGGGCATGGAATATATATTTTCAACTTTTCTTGTTTTAGACAAATCTATCTCAAACCACATGTATTAGGGTTTTGTTCTTTGTTATCTACTCTTTCATTTTATCTTTTACTTGGATTATTAAGTTGCTTTATATGTCAAATGATTACTGATATGTTAGAATTTAAATATACCACTCTACTGCTTTGTTTAGTTTGTTCTTGTCCTTTATCTTCCTTTTTCCTTTCTTTTGAAGTCAGTGTTTTTTCATTCTAGTCTTAGTGATTACACTTTATGTCATAATGTAAATTCTTAGCTTATCAAAGGCTATTATTAATTCATGATTTTACTTTCTTCCCAAACGTTCTAAGGATCTCTGATCATTTTAACACAATTTACTTATTTTAGCATTTTTTATAATGTTTACTGAAGGAAAACTATGCTTTTATGAGCCAGAAAGTGTCTTTATTTTACTTTCATTTTTAAAGAATAAAATCACTAAATAGAAGATTCTAATGTGAAAGGTTTTTTTTTTTCCTTTTCAGCATGTTAAAAATGTCATATCTTAACTTCTAGCATCCATTGTATCTAATGAGAAGTCAGCTGTATTTTTAGTCATTAAAAAAATCTCTACATAATCTGACTTGTTTTCCATTTGACTGCTTTTAAGATTTTTTTTCTTTCTTTATGGTTTTCAGCAATTTGAGTGTGATGTGCTTAAATGTGGTTTTCTTTGTGTTCATTCTGCTTGGAGTTTTCAGAGCTTCTTGAATTCATGCATTGATATTGTCAATACATTTTGGGACATTTTTGGCAATTAACTCTGAGCATTTTCTTCTGTCTCATTTCTTTTCCTTCTGGAATGCTAATTACAGATATATAAGACCATTTGATACTGTTCTAGAGATCTTGGATGCTTTTTTCAGTTTTTTTAACTCAATTTTCTGTTTGAGTTTCAGTTTTGATAATTCTATTGACTGTATTCAAATTCTATTATCCTTTTTTCTACTGTATCCAATGTGCTAATAAGTACATTTGATGGATTCTTCATTTTTAATGTATTTTGCTCCTAGTAACTCTTTTTTTTGTCTTTTAAAAGATGATTTTGATATTGCTGCTAAAACCCCAGTATGTTGTACACATATTTATTACACCAATTTTAAAGCCTCAGTCTTATAATTCTAATATCTGTGCTATATTTGAGTTTTTATCTATTGACTTTTGTCTTTTAAACTAGGGTTTACATTTTCTTACTTCCATGTGTATGTCATTTCTTTTGATTTTATGCCAGATTGTAGGCATAATCAGGAGAGACAGAAGTAAATAATATTTACTTCTAGAATAAGGGGCAATCCTTCTGCCAGGCCACTAGTGTAGGGGCTGAACTAATCCTATCTACAATTTAGCTGGTTCTGGGCTTCGTTACAGTTTTAATTTAGTTCAGTTTACCACTGTCTTTAAATAGTTTGAAGGTGAGGACAGTGCTTCTCCTTCAGAAAGACTTGGGATCTGAGTACTTGCGAAACTCTGGAAATGTCTTCGTTATACAGTCCAGGTTCCGGCTTGCTGAGCTGTGAACATTTCTTTGCCCTCTATGTTGTCTACCAGTTTCTTGGGTTGTTAGGGAGTAATCCCTCCTCTCCAGTCCTTCTTTCAACTCTCTATGCCTCTGGAGATCTCTCTCTCTCCCCCATACTTCCTTGCCCCCAGCCTTTAGAGGACTCCTGAAGTGCACTTGTAGAAGGCCTGCGATGCCATGGGGTGATCTCCCTCTACTTTCTTGCTCTACCCCCAGCTGATAGCAGCTGCTGCCTTATACTCAGAGAAACCTGCTTCTGTTTGAGCAGAATTTTTTCAGTTCTCCTGCCCTGCACACACTCTGTGGGTTGCCATGCATGTTGAGAGGGCTTAATGTACCTTGAGAGAGCTCTAGCAGTGTTTCTGTTCCACCTCAGCCTTCAGGAGCTACCTCCTTGTACTGGGAGAAGGTCCAGCATGCCTCAGAGGGATCTCTCTTGGCAGTCCTGTCTGGCTCCATCCTTCATCTCTACCCCCGGCACTCAGTGAAGGTCAGTGGGTGAAGACTCATTCCTGGGCTTGATTGACCTCCTGTTTATTCCAATCGATCACACTAGCACATAAGTGACTATTAAAAATCTGTTAAAAGCTCATCTGGTTTCTTTTGATCCCCATCGAAGGGAGATTCCTCTTCTTTCTGCTGACCCTTTAGGATGATAACAGCTATAGGTCTCTTCTCTGCTAGCCAGGGCTGTCTTTCTGGAACTTATTTTGTTTAGGGTATTTTTATTGTGTGTGAATCTTCAGCAATCTGAAAAGTTTAAAACAATTCTGATTTTTGTAGCTTATCCAGTTTGTTTTTATTGTTGAGTAAAAGCGATGGTTTTTTGAAATATTCTACGTTCTAAGCAGAAACAAATATTTCCAGGAACTGTAACTCACAAGTATTGACATGCAGAATTTAATTTTTTTTCTATAGTGCATTGTGATTGAGTTTAAAACTCTTCAGGTCTCTTTCTTTAAACTTTCTTATTGCTGATTTCTAATTTAATTGTATTTTAGTAAGATAATGTGATCGATATGATACTCATTTTCCTTTTATTTATTTTTTATTTTTTCAGCATTTCTTTTTTTATTATCATTATACTTTAAGTTCTCGGGTACATGTGCAGAACACGCAATTTTGTTACATAGGTATACACATGCCATGGTGGTTTGCTGCACCCATCAACCCATCACCTTCATTAGGTATTTCTCCTAATGCTATCCCTCCCTTTGCCCCACAACCCCCAACAGGCCCTGTGGTGTGATGTTCCCCTCCCTGTGTCCATGTTTTCTCATTGTTCAACTCCCACTTATGAGTGAGAACATGCGGTGTTTGGTTTTCTGTGCTTGTGATAGTTTGCTGAGAATGATAGTTTCTAGCTTCAACCATGTCCCTGCAAAGGACATGAACTCATCCCTTTTTATGGCTGCGTAGTATTCCATGGTGTATATGTGCCAGATTTTCTTTATCCAGTCTATCATTGATGGACATTTAAGTTGGTTCCAAGTCTTTGCTATTGTCAATAGTGCTGCAGTAAACATATGTGTGCATGTGTCTTTATTGTAGAATGATTTATAATCCTTTGGGTATATACCCAGTAATGGGATTGCTGGGTCAAATACCAAATTGATATTGGGTATTTCTGGTTCTAGATCCTTGAGGAATTGCCACACTGTCTTCCACAATGGTTGAACTAATTTACACTTCCACCAATAGTGTAAAAGCGTTCCTGTTGCTCCACATCCTCTCCAGCATCTGTTGTTTTAATGATCACCATTCTAACTGCAATGAGATGGTATCTCATTGTGGTTTTGATTTGCATTTCTCTAATGACCAGTGATGATGAGCTTTTTTTCATATGTTTATTGGCTCCATAAATATCTTCTTTTGAGAAGTGTTTGTTCATATACTTTGCCCACTTTTTGATGGGATTGTTTGTTTTTTTCTGGTAAATTTGTTTAAGTTCTTTGTAGATTTTGCATATTAGCTCTTTGTCAGATGGATAGATTGCAGAAATTTTCTTCCATTCTGTCGGTTGCCTGTTCACTCTGATGACAGTTTCATTTGCTATGTGGAAGCTCTTTATTTTGATTAGATCCCATTTGTCAATTTTGGCTTTAGTTGCCATTGCTTTTGGTGTTTTAGACATGAAGTCTTTGCCCATGCCTGTGTCCTGAATGGTATCACCAATGTTTTCTTCTAGGATTTTTATGATTTTTCGGTTTTACGTTTAAGTCTTCAATCCATCTTGAGTTAATTTTTGTATAAAGTGTAAGGAAGAGCTCCAGTTTCAGTTTTCTGCATATGGCTAGCCAGTTTTCCCAGCACCATTTATTAAATAGGGAATCCTTTCCCCATTGCTTGCTTGCATCAGGTTTGTCAAAGATCAGATGGTTATAGATAATATCGCACATCATTTTCCTTTTAAAACCATTGAGGTTTCCTTTATGACCTTTTACATATTCAATATATGTAAGAGTCTCGTGTAGTCTTTCAAACCATAGGTATTTTATTTCTGGGGTCCAGTTATTTTTGCCTCTCTTTCTCTTTTACTAATTATCTATTTGTTTATGGGCCAGATTTATTTCTGCATTATAATATTTTATATTAATGACTATTAATTTCTTATTCTGATTTAATGTATTATTTCATAATTTATTCTATTTCAAAGTCTTTGTGATACTTTAATTTT